TAAGTCCAAGGCTGATTCAGATGCACAGCTTTGAGATAAATCCCAGGGGATGGGGCTTCACCTGGTTCTATAGGAGTTAATAAATTTCTTCCTGAATGCAATGGTTCTTTATGTATATTTGCGACCCAGCAGCTTTCAGAGGTTCTGTGGAAGTTGTGTTCCCAGCACAAAAAATCCCCAAATGACTCATCTGAAAGCAGAGAATCTGCAGCTGAGAAGTGGCTGAGGGGATTTCCTACTTCAGGTGCAATAGGTATAACTAACACTTTCATTTGCTTCAGCAGCCAGATTCCAACATTGGAAAAGGATCAGTGAATCAGAATGTTAGCTATTTCTCATGGTAGACATTCTTACTTCGTCAGTGCTGAAGACTGAGTCAGGAAAATCTGCCTTTATACCACCCTAACTGGTTCATTCAGATTTTTGCTCTCTACAGGCATCTGCTGGGGCCAGACTACACTGAAACAGTTTACTCACCCAGAGGAGAGGAAATCACCACACACCCTGAGGACCTGGTAGGATCTGAATGCTTTCTAGGACTCTGTGGAATCTGCTAGTCACATTGTAAAATTCATAGGTCCAGGGATAACTTTAAAAAAAAAAATCAAAGAACTTGAAAGGAAAGTGCTAGTCTGTAACCAATGAGACAACAGATTGAAAACCACAATTAGCTTTTAAAGATAGGAGTAGCAGGAGGCTTTTAAGTGTCACATTCTTAGAAGCAACCAAAGGTTCACTTTTCCCTAGACCATGTTATCCATAGGTTAGAAATATTCTCCTCTATAGGTACTTGAAACCTCATGTCGCTATTTACTATTTTCTGAAGATACACACTTTCATCCTGGGGTCAACAATGGAATATCAGTTATTTAATTAATATTTTTATATCTGGTTAAACTACCATCTTTTAGATAACGCCAGGGCCTAGATGTCAGACATAAAGAATCGTGGCATAGAGAATCAGGGAGGAAAGGGAAGAAAATACAAAAAAATTCAATCGAGAGGTGTTCCCAAGCTAAGAGAGTTTCTCAGAGAAATCCTCTGGGGCACCCTAAACATGTATGAGTCTCTAAAAAAAAAAAAAAAGACAAAACTTGTGACACAACATGTTCTTTGTTCCCTTCACTCACCAAAATTCTCAGTTCATGAATATCTGGACTTTTGCTAACATTGTCTTCAGAGGAAAGTATCTGATAAATTAATTCATGGTCAAATGTTAATGGCTGATGGTACATAATGTGGTACCTTTTCCAGGTCATCTATATGACAATGTTTAAATTGACAAGGTTTCTTCCAAAGGGGGAAAGACACAGATATGAAATTTCATATCCTGAGGCAAATCAGCTTATTTTAACCAGAATTTTAAAATCAGCTTTCTTAGATCATTCCACATAAGTGGCCTCCTAACTTTACCAATATGGACCAGCAACCATGTCTGAACTTCTAGTTGTAGACACATATTCTGGGTTTGGGGGCTAGTAAAGCGATTCCACTAATAGACCAATTAACTGGTGATAGAATCAGTTAGTCTGAGGAGTTCAAGGATGGTAGTGTGGCATCTAGAGTCTCAAAAAATAGGTGCCTCATTTTATTAACATGTGATGCATAGTGCCTTTCAGACTCAGTACAGGAGAGCCAAATTCTTGAAAGTTGGCCTGCAAATCTGAGAGCCCACGAGGATTCTATGAATCCCACAGGGAACTAGCTACATCTCAGAGGCAACATCCACTTTCACCATGAGCCCACTTAGGTTTAACCTCCCTGGACTTTTCCTTAGTGCAAATTAGAGTCAGAAAAACAGCTTAGCCCCAAATACGGGGAGTTCCCAGGATCAACTGTGGAGCAATTCATAAAACCTATAAGGTTCTCACTGTTTTTGTTTCTGGGAATTGGTCTGGGCACAGCTTCTACTTGAAGAACTTTGCTACATGTTCAAGATGGCAGCTCCCCTCACAACCAT